AGATGCACAAATATAACAGTTGCTGCAGATATGGTTGATTGAAAAAACCAAACAACTCAGCAGGAACAATAAGCACACTATGCTTCTTGCATAATAGCTGAGTGGTTTGAGCATTTTGTGGAAGAGAGGAAGTTGTCCCTATTCCAAGACTCTACCGCACTTCTGCATTTCGTCCTGTTCTTCTCTAGTCTAAAAAGCATAGATTCTCCAGGGAATATGGATTTGAGCACTGTTGCCTCATTCCCACGAACTTAAATGCTAGGCTAAAGAACCCTCAGATTTCTTTTCTTTACTGTGTTCCTGGATGCCACCTCCTTATAGCCACACTGGCAAATATAACTTTTTTTCCCAGTGAGACCATTTTCTTGAAAAGCAAAATAGCTGAGAAAGGCTGAGAGGAACCAAAAACCATCCCCCTTCACGGGAAAATACTGTAGCATGGTTCTGTTAGACAGAACATTGATCATAGAACAATCTACTGCCTATCTTCCCCAGTGCTACTGAAGAACAGTAAGTATGTCCCGTCAGATGACTGCCCATAGCAGACGAGTCTGCTCTCAGTCCTCAGAACATTCTACTGTGTAGCTTGCAGACATGTTTCCCTTTGGCAAAGTTTCTTTCCCCTTTCTAAGTAACTGACCCTCTCCAAGCTACTACGAAGGCTGCCTAAGAGCTTACTGCTCTGTATAGTCCTGCCATGCCCCATATTTGGCGAGATGATGTCTATTTTGAGGTTACCTAAAATTACTCTTCTTGTTCCAGAGGAAAAAAAAAAAAAAAAGGACAGCCTGTCAAAATTGTCTGCAGGTGCAAAAACCCCTACCATGAATTCCAGATGCAATCCCAACAGACTGTTTCCCAGCACTGCCTATTACTGTGAGCAACTCCCTACTGAACCTGAAAGTTCCTCAGGCATTTAACTATATTCACCCACACATGTTAAGGAGATCCTGTTCTGGGAAGATAGGCATTTATCTCTTGCCTCAAGTCCCAATATAATCCAGCTTAGGAAGACAGGCGTTTAAATCCCTTTTAGAAGCCTGGAAAATTAGCAGCAGTCAGAATTATGTCTGGCTTTTTCCAACATGGGCCATCAGCTTCCACATAGGTGGTAGTCATAAGACTGAGAGCATGACTTGAGCTAAGCACAGGAGTGCAAATTTTACCATTAGAGAGGGACTGATGTGTCACTGACATCTAACAAGATTACTCCAGCCATTACACCACGCTTGAGCAGAAAGCATCAACCTCTCCTCCTGTGTGTGGATATGCAGAGTTGTTTGGTCTAATTCTCATCTCGAGAGAAGAAAAAACAAGGGGAGCAAACTCACATGTGGAAAAGACGTGCCATAAAGGAGAAAAGAAAAACAAAGCATAATCTTGTAACTCTCCACCCTGTGCCAGAGAGCATCTGGACTGCTAGGCCAACCTTGGGTTTGCTTTTGTCTTCTCTGATGTCCCCTGTGCCTCATGTGTTCGAGGCTGCAAAGGGGCTCAGCTGCAGCACCTACCATCCACACTACCCGATGGTTGCTGATTATGCCATTCTGCTGGGAAGTTGGAGCTCAGGGTTTAATTAGAGTCTAAAAACATCACCCACTTCCTTTCTTACAGGTTTTTGCATCTTTATGCAAAATGTGGGTGGAAGCACTGTGATCTCATTAACGTCAGTCCTGCAGCAGGGATAGAGAGCCTGGATCCTGTGTCAATAGAGTGTTAGGAGTGTTTCAGATGAGTTTCCAAGAGGATATCAGTGTTCTAGCTGCAGGCTGGCTTTGCCCACTGGCACTGTGAGCTCACTTTCAGTCAGTGGAAAGAAGGAGGCACTCTAAGTGCCTCAAAGAAAGCTGTCATTTTCTGCAGGTCTTCAGAAGTGCCTCTCTCTGTGTCCTCTGCCCATACAGCAAAGCTGAGGAATTAGACTGCTCCTTTTGTCCCTTCCAGGGCTAAGACACCTGAAATTTCATTGAGGTAATAATGTCTCAGTGAGGTATCTAAAGTAGATGGATGAGATTCCAGCCTGAATACTTGGGGCTTTGCAGTAAATGATTGCAAGAAAAAACCAAAGTGTCAATAAGAAGATGCAAGCTGTTGAAAACCAAAGAAAGTATTGATTAAAATAAAGACATATTAGAAGACTATTTGAAAAGAATCAAAGACTACAGCCTTTTGTAATTATTTTCATTTCTCCTCCATGCCCCATTAGCCTTTAGAAAAAAATAATTTAATATATTGTTGTAAAAATTTTTTCTCATCTTTTCTGTGACATTGTACTCATGAATCATGGGAGGGCTGAAAAGCATTGTTAACACGCTGAGAAAAAGTAGTGGGTTCAATAAGACTGTAATGTTAAGACTGTAATCAGTTTTCCCTCTCTTAGTCTAATTCTTTGAATAGCATTGTCTGAAAAAAGACAGAGGAGTATTTATTGTAGTAACTTGGATATGCATCAATTGATTTTATTATACTAGAAAACCTGAGAAAGTATGGTTTATTTATATACAGATTGTATAAATACACTGTAGGCAAGTTTCACAGTTTAATGTTGAAAGGGCTTTCATTAATGGTATAGTTCTGAGAAAAGGATGTAAAGCAACATAAAAGAGTAGAGATTTGATTTTTACTGAGATAAGTTGAAATAATTCACCTTTAGTAAATGTGTTTCTTCTTTCATGTTGTTTTATGTGTTGCTCTTTCTAGTACTTTGTGCATGGTTGCAAAAAATATACATTAAGAATGAATCCCTCATTGATGTGACTTAATGATGTCTATCATTTATGTTTGTCTAATTCTATGTGTTAATAATAAAAAAATTAATAATCACCAGAGATCCATAAAATTAAATGGTTGGTTTTGTCCTGGAGCAACTACACACTATGCTTTTACTTTATGTGTATTTTTGACAGAAGACATGAAGTCAGTTCTGAGCAATTCAATCTGATACTGAAAGAGTATGTTGTTAATTGTATTGTTTTTTAAAAAGTATGTTTTGGATTTTCTTAATGGCTAGGAGACTACATTTCAAATACACTTCCAGAACTTTGTATGGCTTCCCATCTTACTCAGAGACAAAAAAATTACCTAAAGATTTGAAACGGAATATATGGGCCAACGTCTCCTATTGTGCAATGGCTGATATTTGGTTTGTATCGATACAGAGGTTCATCCGCATTTTTGAAAACCCACCGATTCTGTGAATGAAAACCATGGCATCAGGACTAGGCACTCTATTTCCTGTAGCCGAAACCAGTCACCTACCAGAACTGGCAGATAGGACCCGCTTTTCTGTTCCGAGTACTCAAATAAGGCTGAAGATTGAAAACTGACAACAGGAAACTTTCGAGATACAGCATGCGATATACCAGTTATCATTGTAAAGACGGTATTAGACAGGTGTAAAATTCTGGCTCCTGAGGCAGGAAGGCTCCCTACACTGAGCTACATTTGGAGAAATCGGTACCTGCAGCTGAGACCTCGAGAGGAGTGAGCCCGAGGGATGCCCGAGGTGAGAGGGGCCGTGCCCAGACCCAGCGATGCCGTAGGAGTCCGCAGCAGCCCCTCATTTGTGCCAGAGTGAAGAGAAATGGTCAGACAACCCGATGAACGCTTTCAGCCGCGGGATCCTGAAGCAATACCGTGTGCCTCACTCCGCCTAGGCATTGACTGCTTGTAGCTGTCACAGACCTGGCAGCCAGAGTCTGTGCGCCCCAACGCCGGCGGCCGCACCGGGCGGACTGTCACACCGCCTCCCCCCTCGCTGCTGCTGCTGCTGCCGCCCCTCTCCGCCTCCGTCTCCCCCTGCCCAAGCTGCTCGGGCGTCCTGGCGGGGGCTGAGCCGCCGCCGCTGCTGCCGCCGCCGAGGCCGGTCCGCCCGCCGCCGCCCCTTCCCTTCCCCCGCCACCGCACATGCCCAGAAGGGCGGGAGCCGCGGCGAGCCCGGGCGCTGCTGTGACAGCGGCGGCGCTTTCCCTTCCGTGGGTGGGTGGGGGCCGCACCGCGCCCCCCGGCCCGGCCCGGCCCGGCGGAAACACTGCGCCGGCCGCCTGCTCGCCCAGTGCCTTCTCCGCCGCGCCCCGGGCCCTCTGCCGCCGCGGGGCGGGAGGCGGCCATGTCGCTATTGTCTGCGCTGGTGCCCTTGCTCCGGGTGTACTGCATCGGCCTCCGCGTCATCCTGCACCAGCTGCGCCGCCGCTTCCAGCCGCGCTGCGCCCCGGCCTCAGGTGAGCACCGCAGCCGGCGCCGCGGGGCGGGGCGGGGCGGCTCCGGGCCGGGGGGCGGCAGCCCCCGCCGCGGAGAGGGGAAAGTTTGCCGCGCTTCCCCCCACCCACCATGGCCAGGCGGCAGTTCCGGGGCCCTGTGGCCGAGACCGCGCGGCCCAGCCGGGAGCGGCCGGACAGGGAAGGGGAGAACAGAGCAGGGCAGCCGCGACCTTGGCTGTAGCGTGGGGCGCCCGGGCCGTGCCGCATCCCCCGCAGCGGGGCAGGGACTGAGGCATCGCGGCGGCCCCGGCACGGCCGCCGCCGCCGCCGGACTCCTTCCCTGCTCCCCATTGCCGGCCGAGCAGGACCCGCCGCGCCGCCCGAGGGCAGCGGCCCCAGCGGGGCTGCGACTGGCGGGGCGCCCTCCCCGCCCCCGCCGCACCCCGCCCTCGCTCCCGGCGCCAGGCCCGGGCCCCACCGCCCCGTCCGGCCCCCGGGCCGCGGCCGCCCCGGACGCGGGGCGGGGCGGGGGGCAGGGCCCGGGACGGCCGCCTGGCTGCACGCCGGCCTGACTTGTGGCCTCGGGAGGCGGCGTGGGGGCTCCGTGGGCCGGGGGTCCACGCTTTTCTTCTTCCTCTCTTTGGCTCTCTGACAGTGTCTCCTGAGACCTTGGCTCAGAGCCGCGCGGGCGCTTCCTCCCTCAGCCCAGGTAGGTGCTTGGAAGGCGGGTAGCGGTGGGCAGCCTCCCCCGGCCCGGGGCTCCTGCCGCTGCCCGCTGTGCCCCTACCCCACCGGGGCGGCTGGGACCGCCGCTTTCGGCCTCCCTGTCCCGGCTGCTCTAGGAGGGCAATGTACCTGTGCTCCAGAAGCTTAGTGTTTGATATCGGCTGACACTCACTGATAGCCTTTAAGTTGACAAGTGAGGGACAGTAGTAGATTTTTTTCTAAGAGACTTCAGGTTAGTCTTTCGTTTGAGAAGTTAGGTTTCTGCACTTTTCTGATTTGGATCAACAGCGTGTTAAATGCTGACTTAGGGGAAACTTTCAGTTTGTCAGAAAAACAACAATCTGCTCCCGTAGCTCTTGAAGACTAAACTGTTTCTGAGTTCATAAACTTAGAGCAAACTATGAATTCAGCCAGATGTGTAGGTTGTCATCAGAGCTGACCATACAGCTGCATTGAAGTCCATGCCTTTAACTTTCTCTCCTTATCAGCAAGTGAGCCTTTGTGGCTCTGTCGATGGTTTTAACGAGAGGAGCAGTAAAAAAAGTAATATTGAGAGGGTTTAGTGTTTCAGTGAAGAATTCAAGTAGATGAGGATATTGGTATAGAGAATATCTGAAGTACTGGGAAGGAGATGGAACAAGTACACCACACAATAGGACCTTATTTGTTCATCTTATCACACGTCGCATCCTTGGGTAGTGTTTTGTGTACTTTTTATTCATTCCTGATCCTTCTCCTGGGATTCCCTTTTTCATTCTCAAAAGGCAGCAATGGAACCCTCAAACAAACGAGAGGACCCTGGTGACAAAAAGGGCAGATGTGCATATGGTTTGAAGTCATCTGAGCATTTTTCTAGCATTAGTGTTTCTTGGCAGAAGAAATTTGGGTATTTTGCCTAGGGTGTGTAACACTTTCCAAATCTTTTTTCGAACCACAGAGAAACAGCATGACGAAAATGTGACCCAGTGTTTTGTTGCACTCTGCTGTTTGCTGCTATTGAAAAAAAATGCGTTGAATTTGGAAATGCCAGAGGAAGGCAATGAAGATCCAATCTAGGAAATGTCACTTGCCTAAGTGGGACCAAGGCAGATTTGACAGATGTGAAAACTTTTCTTTGAGCCCTAACTTGGGATGTTTTTTTTTTTTCCAAGGACAAGTGGTTTCCTCCTCAGCTAGTTGTTTCTACGCAGTTCCCTCTTGGCAGTTACCTGCTGCCTTGCTTTCACTTCTTGTGTCCAGCCGAAGAAGTGATTCACCTTGACAACTGGAACCTTTTTACCCAGATGAACCTCGTTTCCATAATAACTTCAAAATAGTGATCTCAGTGCTACAAAAAGCAAAAGTGTTGTTAGAACAAGCTTGGATCAGTAAACTACAGTTCCTGTAAGAAAACCCCGAGTACCTTTTTCAGACTCTAATCTAGAAAGGTGTGTATGTTTAAAATTTTCTGTATCTTTTTGAGGGGGTGTCCGTAACTCTCACAAGTACAGGTATTTTATTGTCAGGGTGCCTTCCTGGGGAGAGCTTGGAGTGACAAAGGGGAGCTGCGAAAGACAGGACAGGGAGGCAGAGACAGCCATTCCTCTGATCCTGGCTTCCTTGGCCCAGTTTCCATGTCAAGAATTCCCATTCTGTGCAGCAGCGCTGTAGATCTCACTTGGAAGATTTAAAAGAGAGAGATGTCTGCTGTCTTGTCCTTCAGCTCTGTGGATGAATGAAAGGATCTGGTCTCAGTGCAGCCCTTCTGCCTCTGAATTTTCCAAGAAAACCTTGCTTTCTTATCCTTGTTGTGAAGAAGTGCTCAGGATTTTAATCCAAGTAAATGAATCTAGGTTCACTTTTATTTCTCTTTACCCTAACTTAAGAGTTGTGTGCTTAAGAGTTGGCACATATGCTTTTAAAAGTGACCCGTGTGTTCTTTCATATCCTATTCGAGTTCATCTGATTTTTATAGATGGAATTCAAGACTTTTTTGGGGGAAAGAGTTTGAACTCTGAAATCTAGGTAAAAACTTGGTAATTTTTTTTTTTAATTTTTGGTAATTTTTTTCAGTTGCAAACCGAAAAAATAGTAACATTCTCTATTCAAGTGACTATCCCCCACCTCAACACAGAGTAGGGAAGTTTACGTGAAATTCTGATCTTGAAGCTCAGGGAAGGAAAATACAGAGCTGAGACTACAAACAGGGTGTGCAGTCAGCATTGCTTCGCTAACTAAAATCAACAGAGGAAAGTGCAGAAATAAAAGGGAACTTAAGTTAAACTTAAAAATATTTCTCCAAATACTAATTGCATAAACAGTGTAACTTCTAATATGTAGTTTTAGTGTTCAGTGGTTTAAACTATTAATAGTTTTGTTAGAAATTACTGCTTGGACTTCTTTGTAGTGCTTAATCTTAATTAATTGGAGGGAGGAAAAAAGCCCTGCATGACTAAAGTTCTTGATGAAAACAGCTTTTTAAAAACACAAATCTAATCAGTAGATTGATAAAAGATAAACCAGGATATTACCAGTGGAAGTATGATCGCCAAAAGTCATCCTACTGATAAGAAAAATGGTTCGTAGAATTAAAAGCTTCTCAAAGAATTTATTTAGCATCTTCCTCCAGCATTTTTTATTGTACTGTACGTATTTCATTGAAATTTGGTAGGGGGAACCTAAATCCTGGATATTAGGTAGTAGTTTTGAGGTCTTTGTAGTTAAATTTGGAATCTGTAATGTGTAGAAAACTGTATCTGAAGAAGGTGGTTATCTGGATGAAGTTAAGGAGGCAGGAAAGGTGACTCTGTTCTTCTTAAAAGTGATTGAGATTTCATACTTTTTTATTTCCTCAATTTCTAGTTACTCAGGATCCTCATTTGTACTAAGTTTCTTTACAGTTAATTATGAAATGTTGATTTAGAATCATTCATTTCTTAATTTTGATTCATGTTTTGAGGGCTCGCTCTTACTTTATATGACTAAAGCGTAGTGAGAGTCTGAGCATTTCCTGCTTTTGTCATTTACAACATGCTCAAATCTGTGTGAGCTCCAGGTTGTAAATCATCCAGAGGTGGGTAGAAAAATGACCAGGTAGGAAGGATTGATGGCAGGCAAAGATGCAGTTAAACCCTCTCCCCACGCATGCCCCTAAAAGAGTTATTAAGTTAGTTTCAGAATGAGGAATCACTTGGCTTATGGTTGCCCCTCTGCTGACTGAGGCAAAGGTTGTGGGACAAGGATACCCACAAGGTGCCATTGCTGTGCATGCCCAGGGAGGCAGAGCTAAGGTTGCAGGGTGTCTGCACACCCCACGTTTCCTCACATCCCTGTGCTTGGTTTCACAATCCAAGTGACTGTCATGTGGGTTTTGAACCAATTTTCTTTGCCAGTGGGGATACAGAGCCCTGCCTGCAAGGCTTGCACGGCTGCCCTCTACGACACAAGTCATCACTAGCAGCCCAAGGCCTGCCCTGGAGTGGGAAGTCATGTGTTTGTATTAGGACAATGAGAGGGGGTCTGACAGCTGTGAGGAGACAGCACAGCCTGCCCCAAGAACAGCAGGGATGAGGTGCTAGGGCAAGAAAGTCTGGACTCTTCCTTCTCCTGTGGCAGCAGAGTTCACTGCAAAGCCAGCAGAGTATCCTCTCTGCAGGGTTTTAGAAGCCTCGGTCCTGCTACTGGCTGGTCATGTTGGCCAGCTGTGTGCAGGAGGCAAGGGAAGCTTCTCCAGAGGTGCTCTCCTGCTATCTGAGAATTCAGGGTTGCTGTTGTTTTTGCCAGGACTAGACTACGAATGCTGTTTCACTGAAAGTAGAAAATTTTATCTCTTCCTGGAATAAAATGAGAGGTGTGGAGTTTCGGTTTGTGTTCAGAATGCCAGTTATGCTGTATGACACTCAGTGAGAGGCTGGGATGATGAGCAGTTTGTATTTGAGCTGTTACTAAAGGCTGTGTTGTACTGGCATATCTTTAGCTGTGGCAGTGCTACTCTGGGCCACTATTGCCAAGTGCCTGATACATCACAAAATGAAAGCAAAGCTGTGACATACATAAGAATGAAAAGTGGGGTGAGTCTATAACACTCCCATGCTCTGAAATAACTTCTACTTTGTCAGTTGGTGATGAACTTTTTATGATCCAAGGTGTGTCATACTAATTTTAAATATTAAAGATGCATCAACTCTTTTATTACAGTGCCTTCTTCCTTACTTTCAGGAATTGCCAGGTAACTGCAGAGGAAACTGAGATTTAATTAAATGCCGTGAGCCTCTGTGCTTCCTGGAGACACCATGTCATGGATTGAAACTGAGGAACCTAAAAGCTATGATAATATGTATCGATATGATATGTCAGTGCATATCTGATGGCATGGCAGGGTTACCTCATTACACATTACACCATATGGTCTTTCAAAATCATCCGTTTTTGTGGGATTGCGTACCTTGGTGCAGTTGATATGCACATGTTTGGAATTAAGCAGCATTACAATGTTGAATCAATAGTTTATCCTGGCAACTTAAAGGCACTGAATGAATCACAATAGAAGGCATGCTAGTAGGCAGAACATTGCCCCTCCCTCAGGAAAAAATGCAAAGTGTCTACACCCAGGAGTAAATCTTCAGAACAAATCCAATAAAATGCTTGCCCTGCATCTCTCATTCTGCTCCTAAACCAACAGCTGTTTAGTAGATAAGTATGTTTAGTATTGGTTAACCTGTCTTTGGTTTTCCATTCAAGACATTCAGGAAATGTTGCAAAATGCCAGCTGTAGTTCAGAGAGAAAACTATCTTTTCTTGAGAATGTTCACCAACAGCAGCAGAAAGCACCCCAGAGAAGCTTTCACACTTTTTTTTTTTTTCAATAATTCAGTTTTAGCAATATGAAAAAGTTAGATTGTTTCTTTCTGCCCTAACCAGCCAGTCTTACCATCTAGGGACTTCTGGGCTTGGGCACAGGCGCAGCTCCAGAGGAGCAGAGAAGTTACTTGCACTGCCCTTGTTTTCAGTCTGATGCTCCTTATAATCCTCTCCAGTTCTCTTTTTCTGGATTTTTGTGAAGGAGGCTGCATCCATGTCTAATGTCTTCCTTCACCTTTCCAATGCTGGCCAAGGCCCTGGAAAAGGGCTTGTTGCTGTCATGGTGGTGTGGAAGAAATAGAGAAGTGTCAGGGTGCATTTGTGCTGTGCTGCGACTTGGCTTTTTGGTGTAGTGAGGTCAGCTCTGGTGGGTGCCAGCTGCCAGCACTGTAGACAGAGGCACTGTAGACCTCAAGTAGCACTTGCATGTGACTGCACAAGAAGCATTTTCCTGTGCATATATCAAAGTACAGATTGCCAAGTCTTGCCTTATCACCACACTCATCTCTAGTGTCATCCCCTCCCAACTTCTGTAGCCTTTTGAAGAAAATGCTGCAAAATTATTTTCCAGCTGATGTGCATAATAACATTTATTGGTGTTTCCCTGTCTGCTTTTCCTGTAATTATAATGTACTGTTATTCCAGGAACCACAACTGTGAACTAGTACTTCAGGAGATGACTTTGATTTCAGAAAGAGAAGGACAGGAAAGGTGTCAGACATGTATTGTTGATCTGCATGTACGTTCAAGCTCCTTTTCCTTTTATTTCAGTCAGAAAACATCTTTACATTTGAGAGGAGCAGATTATTGCCATAATTTGCATCACAGATTTTTTTTTTTTTTTTTTTTAAAGCAAAAGCTGGAACAGTTAGATCAAGCTTACAAAACTTCTTTCAAAATAAACAAACATGAAAACCTTTGCTCCTTCAGTATCAGGTTTCAATTGAAATAAATGTTAACAGCAAAGTTCAGTAATTCTTAGGCAAGAGATGTTGGTCTAGTTCTAACTTAAGAGGCAGGAAAATGCTATAGCAGATGACCAGTTTTTGTGACAGTAATTTATCAAGTCTGTGGTGGTAGTTATGCTTTCTCTACCCAGAATTATGAAATTCCAGAAAAAAATATTTACTCAGGTCTTCTAGCTCAGTTTCACAGCAGAATGTGATATATTAAAACCCCTTTTAATTTTTGACAATCCAGTGGGCTTCTTGTAGGTCATACTTCCTGCAAATTTCATCTTTAAATTTGCAAATGTAATTAGTGAGTAGGTTTCTTGATGCATTCACAGAAACACTGATTTCACATAGTAGTTGAGTGTGGTCAAACTTGTGCTTTCTCATTGTATCTTTATCTTACTGCCTTTATCAGGTACTCATTAATGAGTGAAGGATCAAAAGGTGGGACGGTGGCCAAGAAGCAATGGAGAATAAAAGTTTAGAAGGTTCCCCATCAGACCTAAAGTTAGTGGCTCACCCGAGAGCAAAGAGTAAAGTGTGGAAGTACTTTGGGTTTGATACCAATGCAGAAGGATGCATATTACAGTGGAAGAAGATCTACTGCCGTATTTGCATGGCACAGATTGCCTATTCAGGAAACACGTCCAACCTTTCCTACCACCTTGAGAAAAATCACCCCGATGAATTCTGTGAGTTTGTGAAAAGTAACACTGAGCAAATGAGGGAAGCCTTTGCCACAGCATTTTCAAAAATCAAGCCAGAGTCATCGCAGCAGGTTGTTCAGGATAGCCTCATCATGAAGACCTATCAGAACTACGAAAACAAAAAGCATCAGGAGCTGACATCTGCAGTCATCAGCTTAATTTGCGAGGGCATGTATCCAGCCTCCATTGTTGATGAACCTACCTTCAAGGCCCTCTTGAGAACAGCAGACCCCAGGTATGAACTTCCGAGCCGGAAGTACTTCTGTACAAAAGCAATTCCTGAAAAGTACAGTGCTATTAGAGAAATTGTGCTGAAAGAGCTCACTGAGGTTCTGTGGTGTGGCATATCCACGGACATGTGGAGGAGTGAAAACCAGAACAGGTCGTATGTAACTGTGGCAGTTCACTTTCTCAGCAGCAGTCCTGGCAACTGCCTGGCTGTGAACTCACGGTGTTTGAAAACATTTGAAGTACCAGAGGATAACACTGCAGAGACCATTACACGAGTCCTTTATGAAACATTCATTGAGTGGGGGATCAATACAAAAGTCTTTGGTGCTACAACAGATTACAGTAAAGACATTGTAAAAGCTTGCTCTCTCTTAGATATTCCCGTACAGATGCCTTGTTTGGGGCACACTTTTAACGCAGGAATACAACAAGCTTTTCAGCTCCCCAAACTCTGCAACCTTCTTGCCAGGTGCCGAAAGCTGGTGGAGTATTTTCAGCAGTCTACGGTCGCGATGTACATGCTGAGTGAAAAGCAGAAGCAGCAGAATATTCTCCATTGCATGCTGGTAAGTGACCGTGTTTCCTGGTGGGGAAGCACGCTCGCTATGCTGCAGCGCCTCAAGGAGCAGCAGTTTGTCATTGCGGCTGTTCTGGTGGAGGACAGCAACAACCACCACCTCATGCTGGAATCCAGTGAGTGGAATACAATCGAAGGGCTGGTGGAGCTGCTCCAGCCTTTCAAGCAGGTTGCAGAGATGATGTCTGCTTCAAAGTACCCGACGATAAGTATGGTGAAGCCACTTCTCCACATGCTTCTGAATACTACTCTGAACATCAAAGAGAATGATTTGAAAGAAATCAGCATGGCAAAGGAGGTGATTGCTAAAGAGTTGTCAACCACCTACCAGCACACACCTGAGATAGACATGTTTCTCAATGTTGCAACTTTCTTGGATCCCCGCTACAAGAAATTGCCTTTTCTTTCAGCCTTTGAGAGGCAGCAGGTGGAAAACAGAGTGGTGGAAGAAGCAAAAAGCCTGCTGGAGAAAGTGAAAGAAAATAGCTTTAGAACTGAGGAGAAATTCTTTGCTGTTTCAGAAGAGCCCCCTATGAAAAAAATCATCATCTCTTCTACTCCTCCTCCTACCAGTGTCATCAACAACATGCTTGCAGAGATCTTTTGCCAGACAGGAGGCGTGGAAGACCAGGAGGAATGGCATGCTCAAATCATTGAGGAGTTGAGCAACTTCAAGTCGCAAAAGGTCCTCGGTTTGAATGAAGACCCGTTGAAGTGGTGGTCTGACAGACTAGCGCTGTTTCCAGTTTTACCAAAGGTTCTTCAAAAATACTGGTGTATTCTGGCCACAAGGGTCTTCCCTGAACGCCTTTTTGGCTCTTCTGCTAATGTTGTAAGTGCAAAGAGAAACCGGCTAGCCCCAGCTCATGTGGACGAGCAGATTTTTTTGTATGAAAACAGTCGCAATGGGTCTGAGGCAGAACCGGAGGATGAAGATGAAGGAGAGTGGGGTTTGGAACAGGAACAGATTTTTAATTTAAATGACTCGGTAAACATAAACAACAACTTCTTTAATATTCGAGACAGTGGGTTTGTTTAACAGGACTGCTGTGGTACATTTAATGACAAAGAAAAGAGGTATTTGTCTTAAGTTACCAAAAATTCTTCTGTTTTATGCTATGGATGCTGTAAATATTGAACAATTGTAACAAACTTGATTTAGCTTCCATTGTCTGTGTTTTTCCCACTGTCTTAAAACAAGAATGACATGATCAAACAGTACTGAAATGAATGAGGAAATGCATTTTACAAAGACCGTGATTTCAGACTGTGGCCCAGATTTCAGAAAGCACCTGTCCATGTGCTTCCTTTCCACTTGTTTCAGTGGGAGACAAACACATGCTTATGTGCTTTCTATCTTAAAACTATTTTCCTGAGTTAGGACCTTGAGGAAGTTTTTAAAATTTATGCCTCCGTTTGTAAATCCTGTGTGACTCAGGATGCTAGCTTTAAATTTTGGATTTTAAAACATTTTTAAAATCCATAGATCTGAGCAGTGAATATTTTTAGAATATATTGTTGCTATGAAATGAAAAAAGATCTTGAGCCTGATTTTCACTACCTCATGTCTTAGGTCTGGTCTATGCTAGAAAAGTTCAGCTGGTATAATTCTGTTGGTTAGGGGACTGATGTGTTATTATTTTAACTGATACTGTGCTGGCATAGGCTGTAGTGTGGATGCATTTATACCAGGATAATTTATTTTCCTTTCCAGTGCAGTGTAAATGGTATAAACACTTAAAATGGTATTGCTGTGTCCACCTTAGTCCAGTTTTACCATTTAACTGCAGCTAAATGGCAAAATTGTTTTTTTTTCTTTTTGTTTTGCTTTGTGTCTAAGCAAGACCTGATTGTAGTCTCTTGTGCTTTTGCAAAGTGGGAACCAAGTGTGGGGTCGAGGCAGTGTTGTGTTACCTTTGCCTTGTACCAATGCCATGGCTGATGCCACATGGTGTGTAGCAGGCATCAGCCCTTTGGAGAGGGAAGGACAGGGCAGGGAGATTGTCCACAGGCCACGGGTCTTAATGGTTTATCTGTGTTATAAAATCCTTAACCTCTTCATTTAATGGGGACTTCGCCCAGGGTAGCTAGAAAATTTTATTGGCAAGAAAAGCAAAATAAAAAGCTTTAATATTATGTAAATATATTTAAAAGAAGGGGACCCCTCTATTTCCTCACATGTATTTAGTGTATCTTTAAAATTATTTTTTGTTATGTTAGCACTTAAAAACTTTTTTCACCTGTCTCTTTGATTCAGTTTGTAGAGTGGACTTCAGTCCTGTCCAGTCTAATGTTTGAGTACTGTTTCCGATGAGTTGTGTATTATAGCTACTCCCCTTGTGTCTCCAAGCATAAGTGTTTTAAGTCCTTTTGAAAACTTGACAAAGACAAAAACAGAAAGGAAACCAACCTGAGACCACCCCCCCTTCTCTTATGAAATACTGCAGGTCATAAACGTGATCAGAGTTCATGCTGGACACAAAGTAGTAGGATGCTCCAGCTTTATTTTCTGAGGTGCAATGGCAGACTCCTGGCATTTTCCAGTTACAATCAAGGTTTGCTCGGGGTTTTATTTCTGTTGCTGGTGTCTCACCCCCCACCTCGGTGTTAGTCTACAACTGTATTGAGCAATATCTGTCTGTTACTGTTCTTGAGGAAGAAAGTTGGGTTTTTTTTATCATGATGGCACCCATGGACATTGGGTTGGAAAATGGGCACAGACAGCAGGAACACACAAAAATGAGAATGGCAATGGAATTTAATCTGTTGCCAAACAGCTTATTTATGGTTTGTTTTAATAGTTTTTTGGAGGCCTCTGCGTTCTTTGTAGGTGGTGGGAAGGGATGGGTGAGTAAGAAGAAAAGACAGAGGTTAGGCTGAAGGAACAGAGAAGTAAGTAATTGCAACTACAGAAACAAAAATGTTTAACCCTGGGAAAAATGCAGTTAGCAGGTTCCGTGGCCTGTTAGTAAGCCTGGGGTTTCACTTTCCAGCCCCTTGAAAACTGAATTGCACTTGTACAAAGTACATGCACTGTGCATCCTGTTGAATGTTGCTACTCTCCATGTCCACTAAAGAGGTGTATATATGTTTGCCCAAGGTGCAAAGCGCAGACTTGGCCTAAAATCATGCAAGAATATAGGCTGTCTGTGAGGGCACCAAAATCAAATTACGGAAGGGACCGAGATACCTGAGCTCCTGTGACACCCCGGCAGCTCTTGGTTTTTGTGGTCATGACTTGCAGCAGCTGTTACCACTATTGCAAGCCCTCCCTCCAGGACTTGCACAAATGCTGATGGGAGGTGTGTGGATCTTGTCTTACATGAGCGTAATTCAAAGCTGTGCCCTCACAATCAAGGCAAAGCCCAGAGCACCCTTGGTCCGCACTTGGCCTTCCCCTGTTGGCAGCATTGTATCCATCTTCATCCTTCTAGGGCTGAACATAAACAGTGACACTTACAAGCAGTTTTACTGAGATCAGTGCAATGCACTACTCCCTTCCAGCTTCTTTTTATTTTTTGGTATCCAAAATAAAAATTGTAGTTGGTTCAATTGATGTGTCTCAGCATTCTTTTAAAAAAAGGAGAAGAAAAAGAAAAAAAAAGAGCAAAACCACTGTTAGTCTTACCCATTGTCTGTGAGATTTTTTATTTAATGTTCTAAGCCTGGAATATTGTTAAATAAACCAGAAAAATAAGTTAGTTACTAGATTATTTGTCTGATGTGTGGTCATATCTGCAGCACTTTATGACTTTGAACTCTTCCGCAACAGGGGGAGGTTGTATTCTAAGGATTTAAAGCTATGCATTTATTTTCCTTTCAATCTTGTAAGTTATTTTTTAAAAACGATGTACAAATCTTTTGGATTAAAAGAAATGAGGATGAAAAATGTTGGAAGTTTAGATGGTTTCTCTCACTTAAATATGTGTGGTGTTTTTCATTTGTTGACAAGATTTTCTGTTGTTTAGTTGGGTGGAGAAGGAAGATTGCAGAGCTGTTTTAAATGTTGCTACAACTTGAGTTAACCTGGTGTTACTGCCAAGGGTGGGCCCAGAACACATTTCCTAATAACACCATTAAGTCAACTTTATGTTTGTGTTTCTTGACAGCTACTTTGAATCCACGACCTAACCTTTCCTTTTCTCTTCAGTACAGCTGAGACATCTTTTTGGAGAGGCAATAGAGGAAGGAACTTCAGCTTTTGAATACATTCATGCTGAAAAAGTGAATTTTTGAACAGGCTTTCAAAGTACATACTCTGTGTCAAGAGAAAAATTGCCATTGTCACCAATTAGGTATTGCCAATTCAGAATTAAAACTCAGTGGGCTAGGTGAAATTTCTTGGGGTAGCAATATAACTAAAGGGAGTTTTGTGTCTCTGACCAACTCCTGCATGAATTTCACCTCCCTCTGCCATCAGGGATTATGTGAAGACAAAGAGAAAAGCATACTGAAGTCAAAAAGGTGAATTTTTCCAGCAAACAATGTCTGAAGTACTTTGGTTTAAAGGAGGGCAATAAAGTTCTGTATTGTTTATAGGTAGGGTGTACTGTTTTAAGTTTCTATTGCAGCAGTCTATTAGTTTAATTTCAAGCATTTTCTTTAAGCAATGTCATGGTGTCCAATTAGCTTTAAAGGAGCATTTGTAAGCAGGCATGAATATCAAAAGCAAAAGAAACACAGATTGGTTATTTATAATATTTTATAGGACTGCTGAAAACTTAAAAGTGACAGGTAGTTCTTGATTTTTGTCCAGCTTAAAAAGAAGGGGGTGCCTGAGGACACAATTTCTGAAGGAGGGGAAGTGCATGCATATCAACACAGAAGTAATATATTTTACATACTCCATGACGATTGGGTAAAGGAGACTTTATATTGGAAAAATTACATTTTAGTCTCTGCACACCATCCTCCTTTTGGTAGTCTCCATTTCTGAGTGGCCTCTGAAGATCTTGTGATCCTGGTAGTCTAGACTCCTTTTAGCTCTGCTGAAAGGACTCTCATGGTCTCTTAAGTTTTGTGGCTTTTTTTTTTTTCCTTTGGACCAGACTGTGGCCTGTCTTGCCTTATCTCCTCCAAATTAATGTTCTGCTAAATTGAAAACACTTTTAGGGGACATAGGGAAATTAGGGAAATTGGTTTTGCTTTTTTTAGTAACATTTGGTGCTGCAGAGATAATTTAAAGACACAGCTTCATTTTATGTCTGCCTTAAGAGCACATCAGTAAAGCATGTCTTAATGATACTATTTAAACTGCAATTTCAAAACATCTCTGCAGTTGCAGTTTATAATGCTGTCGTTTTTTAGTACAGAAGAATTTCCTTTAGATTGAACAATAGAAATCAATTAAATATATTTTTACTGTTGTTGGCATCCCCTTCAGTGCCCCTGCTGTTGGGTTAAAATGCCACAAGGGTAATGAGTTTAGCATTAAAAAAATGGAAAAAGATGAAAAACAAACCACTGTCTTTGAGCTTACCTTCTGTTTTAAAAACACAACTGGACTTTTCTGTTTTTAAAAATTCAAAGGTGTTGAAGCAACTATTTTCAAATAAGAGTCCCTCAGAACACTAAGATTCAGCTATCAGAAGCTGTAGGGCAGTCCTATTTGTAAGGATAAGAGACAGGAGGGGATATTTTCATTTGAAATTAATGAGAAATCTTGTCTTTATTTTAACACTCTTAGGTAGAAGATCATTAAAATGCATCTGTAAATGTTTGTGCTAGCCTCATAATTTAGATGTATCTGTAGAGAATTAATCCATTTGTTTTGCTTAGTTCACTGAAAGTATGATTGTATTTGTCCATAGCTGCATGTGTATGTCATGTTCAACAGTGTTTCCCCAAACAATGCAGAATAAGGTTATTTTTAAAAAGGCAGTTTCTTTGATTACATGCAATATTCTGTCTGTTCATTGTCCCCAAATACATGCAGTTAGGAATGAAAAATTAATTTTTTATTTCTCCAATGGATACTGCTTTGCTTTTAAATTTGAGTTATTTTGTCTATCACTGTGTCTTTTACAGACACTGCAATTGAAAGGGTTTCATTCTCTCTTTCTTTCTGCTTTTTTTCTCATGAGTCATCAGTGAGGTTTACAGTGATAGGAATTTGCAGTCATAACAAGGAAGATGTCAAGTGAGCATCAGAAGACCTCATGCCAGAAACGTCCTCTCCCATGTCATGAATGCAGTGCTCCAAGGGAAACCTTCATCTTCTCAAACATGACCTTCTGATGTGTGTGTGAGAGAAAAATAAATTGCTTTTGCAAGCAATGCACAGTTCTGTGTTATGGGTGATAGCACAGTTATGTGTGAATTTGTGCTCTGGGATGCACTCAGTGGTTTGGCATGAAATAAAAGTTTATTGAGCACACAGCAAAACTTTAATGAACAGAAGGAATTTAATAACAAATGTGAAAAACGAAATTGCTCTACTTATAGGAACAGATAGGAAGTGGGTCCATCTAGGGAAGATACTGAAATTTTATCAGTAGTCTCCAATTCCTGTCCAAAATCCTGATAGCATTTAAAAATGCTAAATGACTAACCTTCCTGTAGTCTGACATTTTAGAACTCTGTAAAACAATCGTTTTACACACTTTCTGGTGTTCACATGCTGCTGGCAATGAGCTCTGTTAACTTCAAAAGACTCCTGCACTCCCAAATGGCCAGGGAGGAGGTCTCATTAATGAGGTACTGGAGAAGAAGGGAGATTCAAGCTCTTACTGTGACGTGGCCTCCAGCCTGTGTGAGCGTGGGCTGAAGGGGCTGTTTCCAGGTGATATTTTGATACATTGATCTACATGGATAAACATTCACCTGCAGTCTACGAACTTGCCACTGATTGTAAATCCAGCTGATCCCAAGGGAGTGAGTGCTGTGGTGAGAAAGCCAGTCTTGTGGATGAGTGGAGCATGTATCCCTTCTAGTCCCTCATTCCAAGCATCACTTTATTTCCTATGCAGGCAGCAAGTACATTGGTGCTGCTCTTTGCTGTGTTATTTGCTCTGTGCCTCTTGTATTCAAAGTGTAGGAATAGGAGAATGTGACCTGCATGTTTTCAAGCCTTGGTGAATACAGGCAGAATTTACCTGCACTGTTCATTATTTGCTGCCTGGTTTCCGTGAGCAGTGGGTTGAGGATAATACGGTGTTTGCCCCGTGGTGTTGTGAATGTGAGACTGGCATTGCTGCTCAGAGATTCCTGTGTACCTACTCAGAGAAATAAAGTGAGAAAAGCACAACCTTGTGCATTTTGTATCTGAAGGTATGACTCAGTGCCCAAGTGGGCTTAAAGTACTAACATGAACAAGTTCTGCTGTAGTCTTGCAGACAAACCACCTTGCGCATGCTCTGCCCACACCACCCCACCTCCTCTTCATCAATACAAAGATTTCACAGTTCTTCTTGGGGAGATAAATTCAGAGATAATGTATGAAACGATTTGTCAGTTGTTAAGACCATTGCAATATGCTTTTTGTGCCTTTTTTGGCAATGCATGCTAGAGCTGATGGAAGATAATATTTTATCCCAGGGACAGCCCTTCCCTGCAGTGAGGCGATCAGCTCAGTCCGCAAAGTTGTTTTGTTGGCTGCACTTCTGCCTTTTTTCTAGGCTGTTTAGGAAAGTTGCTGTGCTCTGCAGAGGGAAAAACAGATTCCTCCAGAGTGTTTTCCCTGTGTTTTTGTGTTGCTGGGGCTGCTTTCTGGTCTGCACATGCCTGAAGGAAGGGGATGCCAGGGCTTTTGCTGTGATTCTGCTTCTTCCCTGGGCTGATTGGCCACCCCTAGAACAAGATTGTGCAGAAGGTGACACCGCTGGGTGATAAGTTTGCAAACACCAGAACTACAAAATGATTAATTCATTTTATATTTATATTTAGGCTAAGATTAAAATGATACAAAATGTGGCCTTAAAAGGAGTCTGCAGAGTCTACATACTAACTCCTTGACTTAGGTGTCTAAATGCAGATTTAGGGACCTTATCACAAAAGCAATCCATTTTTCATGCTCTGCCTTCAGACCCTCTAAAAATACCAGCATCACAAGTGTGTCTCATTTAATATCTTTTAAATAATGATATTTTGGAGTGGACTGTGTATGAAATGCAAACCACAGCTTTTTATTTTAAACGTGTCCATTTTGTCTTCCATTGTGCTTCAAAGGTTAGTACCTGCAGAATTATTCTGTCTAGAAAGCTATTGGAACACTTCAGGTCCCAAATGTAGGTGAGCTTCAGAAGAGAAATACTCTCCCCCACAATTCATAAGCTGGAAGGCTTAATTATTCTATTGTTGAAAGAGGCAATTATAATTGCATTTTTCCCAAATATGGGAGAATATGAAGTGTAAGTATTTACATTTTTAGGTACAATTCCGAGTAAAGGGCTTAAATGTAAGCGCCTCATTTTTTGCCCTTACCTGCATCATGGCAATATGGAGCAACACCCATGGAATTTCAGTGAGGGTACAAGTGGAAGAACAACCGTCGTTTACTTAGTCATTATTCTGCTTGTGAGATGTTTCAGCTTTGATGATTTAGTCATAACAAGCATAAAATCAAGAGTTTCAGCAGATGTGAATGCACATTTCTATTGCATTGGTCTTCCTTGGTGAACAGGAACTTGGGCTCCTTTGTTAATGTAGAACAAAGGAAAGGAGGCAAATGGGGGTGCACTATTATAGGTGGAAGGTTGGGAGTTTGCTTTTTGCTCATGCAGCTGAAGCAGTAATGTATTTCAGAGCTAAGTGATGAATTCCATCTGTGCATTTGAGTCGAACGATGGGCAGATGGTATCTTTGCTAAAGGTATGTGGTCTTTGTCTTCAAGTCAGCACTCTCCCAAGCAGTGGCTGGTTGTGCAAATTCAACTTATGTCTTTTAATCTCTGCAGTTTTGTGGCTGTTTGGCCAAAGATCTTGT